TTATGATGCTTTGTTTTCAAAAGAGGAGATGAAGGCCTGGTTGCTCATGGTGGTTCTGGAAGGGGCAGATTGAAGTCTAAATTTTGTAATAAATTTGTAACTACTTCAAGAAGAAATGGCACTTGAAGAAGGATTGCTACAAGTTACAGAATAAAAAAAGATGGCTGCAAGTAGACATTTAGATCCTTCAGGCGAAGCAGACCTTTCGGAGAACATTGATGGAGATCTTTTAGCTTTTTCTGACGTCGAATCTAAATCAGATGATGATTAGATTATGGATTCAGCGTATATGTTTTATATGTGTTCTAATAAAGACTTGTTTACTACATATGAAACTATTTTCAAAGGTGTCGTGGTTATGGAAAACAACACACCTTGTCGGGTTGCTGGAATTGGTACGGTCAGATTAAAGCTTTTGGATGGAACAATTAGAATACTTGGCCAGATTTGACAAGTTCCAAATTTGAAGAAGAATCTCACATCTTTGTCTATCCTTGATTCAAAAGGTTGTGAGTTCTTTGGTGGAGGTGGAGATTTGAAGGTTTGTAAGGATGCCCAGGTTATATTGGAATGACAAAAAAGGTCTCAGTTATACATCTTGCAGGGTCGTGCAGAATTTGAAAGAGTTAATCGGCATAGGTTCAGTACCGTGGTGGACATTCAGTTTGGTATGATACCTTTAGGAGATCATAAAGGGTCCGATTTGAAGAATACAGCTCAGTGGAGTTTTGAAGACATAGATAATAACACTTTGCCACCATCACCTGTGGTGTCATTGTATTCAATTGCTAGAGTTAGACTTAGTGGAACAAGGTATGTGGATGTTGATTTTGTTAAGCATGCTTTAAGTGAAGAAAATGATGTTCAATCTAGCAAGAAGCCTTCATTAGAAGCATTTGGTAATGATTATACTTTGGGGTGTGTTATAGCCAATTTTGGTTAATTCAAAATCATTGTGATTTTTTGGAATCTGAGGTAATTCTCCAGAGTAGTGCTTAGATTCATTGGAAGATGCGGAGTATCTTGTGTTTGATTTGAGAAATTAATTTTTTGGTTATTGTCGAAGAAGCCAGTTCATTCCTTGGTGAAATTCGTGTCAAGGTGGAGATTGTTAGAATTTGGGTGTGACCCGAATTCCTTGTTTGAAGTATTGAAGAATTCTAATTGTAGTGAACATCAAGAAGAATTCAATTTTGGAATGCTATTGAAATCTTATATCAAGCTGAAGTTTTATTTTGGAAGCCCGTTGGAAGTTGAAAGTTGATATTAAA